GTGTTCCGTACGGAACGTGTATGTCCGTACAGAACGTGTACGACGGGCAACCGGGCCCCAGGAGCCGCACGGCTCGCAGTCGCCCGTCTCTTGCCGCCGGTTCGCGTTGTCGCCGCGACGCGGCGACAGCGTCACCCGGGCCGTCACTCGCAGTTAAATTTTAACTCGGCGCCTATATAAGTCGCCGCGCGCGACGACTCGATGCCTTTAGAGTGCGTTCGCACGTTGGGTCATTAGTTTTTTGAGTACATTTGTACAGTTCCTTAGAGTGTCTACGACACGTTGGTTTACCTCGCATTAAGGTATTTTGGTAACTCCACGGATCCTCCACCTTCTCGATATTTCTGGCGATTGTGAGAAGGGTTCGCGCGACCATTACGGGATTACTTCGGAGCCTCCACCGCGGTGGACACTTCCCGTTGCGATATCTCACATATTGCAAATGTCGTGCCTCGGTGCGACAAAAGACGTTACTGTCGCGGTCACGACTCCGTGCGAGTCTCAGTTCTCAACGAGAACTCAGTCGCGGCCGCAGTATTAACGCGAGCCACGCTCACCTCTAAGTCGACACAAGACTTAGGGCGGTATTCATAGTCGGATCTTATATATAAGATTATCTTAAGAACGATCTTAAGATGTCACCTAGGGTGCGTTCCGTTTCACGCATTAAGCACATTGATCGCATTAAATGCGTTGCGCGCATTGATATTGTTCCGTTTCGTAAATGTGCATGATGCGTTTTTGGAAACGGAACGGTTTTCCATGCGTTTGATGCGAATCCAAAATGGATGCTACAAGTAACCTTACAGGTGACAAGATATTATCACCATTAATTTCATTTTTCTTAATAAACAACTTTGAAAAAGAATGTAGTGATTCAAATAATACTGATGATAGTGACAGTGAAGATGAACTGCAAGATATTACAAATGAAGAGTTGGAATTGATTTATTTTTCATTAATGGTTGCTGAAACACGCGGAGAGACCGTGTTTAATGAAAAAATAGATAATTATGTTGAGCGAGTTGTTCCTGGTTACTCTAGAACAATATTCAAAGAACATTCTCGGTGAGTAAAATATATATTAATGTTAAAAAAATAATATAGGAAAATATTGTCTATATAAAAATATTGTGATAACCTTCAAATCACAAATGTATTGTTTTATTAAATAGTTACAGAAATGATTATATTTTTAAATAAATGTTATATTGTGTTACTTTAGAATGTTTCCTGAGACCTTTGAAATAGTGCTAACAATAATTGGCCCAGGATTACATGCGATAAATGTATCCTCTGGCAGAAAATCAATATCAGAGAAAAAGCAACTACTTATCGCTATTTGGTTTATGGCTACTCCTGATTCTTATAGGTATTTACATGGAAAAATATATATTATAATGAAAACTGTCACATTTAATTTATATGATATGTACATCATTATTTCAGATCTATAGCGACAAAATTTGGCGTAGGCAAAGCAACTGCTTTTCGAGCATTAAGACGTGTCACATATGCTCTCCACTGTGTTGCACCTCAATTTATTATATGGCCAAAAGATCAGGTTGCCGTAAATGTAATAGAACAATTCGAGAAATCATGCGGTTTTCCCAATGTAATCGGAGCTATCGATGGGACACATATTAAAATCCGAGCTCCCTCTGTAGATGCAAACTCGTACATAAATCGAAAGGGTTTTCATTCTATTAACGTACAAGTAGTATGTGATTCTTTTGGACGCTTTACACATGTATATGCTGGACAGGTTGGATCGGTCCATGACTCTCGAGTTTTTCGAAATTCTTCAATAGCCCGTTTTGTTGAATTTCCTGAAGAATATTTTCCAAGTAATTCACATATTATCGGAGATGCCGCATATGGCATTCATCCTCACGTAATGGTACCTTTTCGGGATAATGGACATCTCACAGACCGGCAAAAAAATTTTAATTATTGTTTGTCATCCACGAGAATGGCAGTTGAACGTACTATAGGATCCCTGAAAATACGCTTTAGAATACTTTTAGATTGTTTGCCACTAACAAACACCAAAAAAGTTCCAGAATTTATTTTAGCATGCTGTGTGTTATATAATATTTGCCTAATTCAGAATGATGAAATGCCCATAGGTGTGCAACTTAGATTGAATGACGACGTTGGCCCTGCATATGCCGATGGCAATGCAATAGAATTAGGCAAAGAAAAACGAATAACAATCATGAATGCATTACCAATGAAAATATAAATAAAAATATCGTGTAATTAAAATAAGATAAATATAAAAACATGTAAGATTTTCATAAACTGTATTGAATATTTTGTCCATTTCCTGATGTACAAGTATATATACAATTATAACTAAATTTCGTTAGTATATAACTGTACTTATTAGAGTAGTAGTATGTAATTTTAGTAGTATTATAAATTTGTATAGAGTTTTAATAAATAAGGTTATAAAAGATGAAATTTTATGAGGCTATTTATTATATTTATCAAATATATATAATTATTATAAGTATTATATAAATATAATATTAACTTCTAATATCACAGTGCACAATCAATTGCACTAACGGTAATAACTGTTTCGATTTTTACTTTTTATTTGTTAAATTCTGCAGGACAGAAAGTAATGCTTTTTGTATCTCCATCTGATCATTATGCATTTTTTTACGCTCTTTTTTCCTTTCTTGGTATTTTGCTTCCCTGTCTTCTTCTCTCTTCTTCTTTTCATCGTCTCGCTGTTTTTTCATATCTTCCCTCTCCTGTTTTATATTCTCGATGTAATTTTCTAATATACTTTCAACCCGTCTTTTTTTAGGTGCATCTGTAATATATATTAATATTAATGTTGACAATATTTATTATGCATAACAGAGAAAGTAACTTTTACTCCAA